TGCACTTTAACTATAGTCCCATATGGGACTTAATTGTAATATCAATATAGAACAACATCAAATTATACACAATCATAATGCTGGTTAACATGCCTGGCATAACCAATCTATAAATAAAATCTTTTCTTTCAATAAAATGCTAGGGCGAAGGTCTTAAACATCAGTGAAGTCTTACCCATTTTGATAATTTCATGACCAAATGACCGAATCACCAAATTTAGGTTCTGCCAAATCAAGACAATTATTAACTCACACCATTGAAAATTTGATTGACAGAAGCAAAAAAAACCCAGACACCTGGGAATATAACAGTTGTTTTGGTCACGTTTTTATGAAAATGGGTATAAGTACACGTAAAGGAAATTTATACTTGGAAGTTTAAGTATGACTATGACATTAGTACAAGATGCACATATTCTTTGATTGCATGTTACGTCATCAAGGCCATGTTGGTGCCATTTAACAAAAGCTTTCTCCTTATCGTCCACTGTTAACAGCACCACAATAGCCGCCATGTTTTTGTACTTTGACTCTCTTGGGAATGCTTGCAATCCATCAATATTTCCTTTCATGGTAAATATTAAGCTAAAGGTTTCTACTTCATGCAAGTATATTCTACACCATCTTTTAGATACCCTAATTCAATAAGAGTTACAAGTCTATAATGTAAATTACCTTAACTGGTATACAGTTTGGAAGGAAAGAAGGCAAGATGTTTTGGGCTGTTTTTTAAAGCAAGCAATTTCAATATGATGCCATTTTTTCAAGAACGACTTGATTTCTTCAGATGATGATAATTCGGCAAAATCTTCGTTAAAAAGTCCAGTTGTAAAGTCTGTGGAACGGGTCTTTCCGCCTGGGCCCTACGACTACAGCTTTGACCATATATAACAGTATTCTCTGGCACAGTTTCTTGAGAAGTCACCTCACACTTAGCACCAATCACACACCCATGAGACAAGAGGGTATGGCGACCAATTTTACTCTTTGCTTCAAGAATATTATTATCCCCGACTGTCACCGCCTCGCACACACAACCAACCTCAAACACATTATGATTTCCAATCTTCATGACGATCTTTTCACCAGCTTCATCCTCGTCTTCTTTGATCACAGGGTTAATAATGGTGGCTTGTTCTTCAATCAGGTTGTTGTCCCCTATAATTATCGGCCCAGCTTCGGCGATTATTCGGGCTTTTGGATGAATCACCGTTTTCGATCCGATAGTTACTTCTCCCTTAATCTCTGCTTCTTGACAAACCACGGATCCAGCGCCTATTTTCAGTTTTCTGGGCGTTTGAGAAGAGTTTCTTGACGAAGAAGCCGACATTTTGGGTTTTTTTGCCTAATACATTGGTGACCGTAACACTTTCTCCAGCATGATACCGCTGACCGTAAATAAATAAAATTTTTGTTTGAGTGAAGAAAAACAATGGAAGTGCTGTGTCTTGGAAAAAGAAAAGGTCATGTCCGAAGATCTAAGGGTTAAACTATTATAACCATTATACTCAAGGAAGGAATCGTTATTAGTAAATCACAGGGAGTTGGCTTTTGCCTTGGTTTTGCCCCGATCGCAAGATCTCGTGAAATGAAAATCTGAACTACGACAAACTTTGGATTTTGTTGCTATAATAAGTTTGTGTTCTTGGTCTTCGTTACGCGTTTGTGCGTTTATCGGATCACCAACTAGCCCGTCGTTATCACTAGTAATGCTATAATTTAAGGATCGAGGGATCAGAGCAGGAATCATCAAAATGCCACTGCCGAAAACAATGCCTAAAAGAAAACCTTCTAAAGATGATGGACGTGTGTATGCAAACAGATACAAAGTTGTGCGGCGACTAGGGAGCGGTAATTTTGGCACAGTTTTTCTTGTTGAAGACATGTCTGCAAACAGAGAAAGGTAAGGAAATTATGGAAGGAAATTACTTCTAATGATCTAAGCTCCGCTTTCTCATTTGAGAGGATTGCTTGTGAGGGTGTTAAGGTGTTAAATTCACTTATGTTCGACCATTATCCCATGTGATTGAGGAGCCAGACGTAAGCATGTCCTTTCATCATGCTTGCATGGTTTCCTTGACAGCTACACGCGTTCTTGACGACCTATACATGCCATACCTACACCAATCCAGAATGCAGAATTCTTGCAAACTCGTCTAAAATGCTGATTTTTAATTTGTCATAAATTCAATTTCAGTAATTAAGATTTAATTGATTGCTTGTACATTTCTCTGTAAATTATTAACCATGATGGCCCAGCTAATTAGCTTCATTTATTTGTCCTGCTTTGACTCCCCTAGGCCTGTAGTGTGTAGCCATCCATGTAATAGCTCAGACATCATGTAACCCGTGGATTGTTTACCTAGGATTTTCAATCAATGCAATAAATTAACATTTTGCCATGTTGCAGACAGGTTTAATTATTCTTTGCACATCAAGTTGAATTGTGTGCGTATATATTCTTGTTTGATAAATTGCTTTTAAAGAATCTTTTGATTTCTAGCTGATTCAAAGTTTTTGTGTTTTCAGCTGTTTCCTGTCACGTTATTTATGGCTTTTCTTACTATGTCCAGTTGCAATATTCATTTGTATAAGTGAAATAATTATTGTTTGAATTCATTGTATCATTTTAGCCGGCTTACCTTAATCATCCTATTAATCGTCAATTGTATCCGATACAGACTTGTCCTTGTAAAGTTAGTTTTTGTTTTTCATAATTGAGTGTGATATAAAAATCTAGCAATAACTTAAAACGTCTGACTTTTTGGCTTTACAGTTGGTTTCACAAAACTTCAGCTGCTTTAATTCCAAAGTTAGTTCCCAAGTTCTCCAAGTTGGTCCCGAACTTGCTAACTTTTTGTGAAATTGGTTCAATCAACCGTGACTTGTTTATGTCTAGAATTCAAATATTTACTGTTATTGCTTCTTTAAACCATATACTTTTCGAAAATTGTATTCCAGACAACAAAATTCCTTTTGTTGCAATAAAATTCACTTTGAAAATTGAATTCGAATGGTAGATTTGATGGGTTTTAGAAGCTACTGTATTAACAGTTTGAAAGGTCACCAACAACCATCAGAAATTCATAGTGAAATTGAATACGAAGTTGTGAACTTGCATATGAACTTCAGACATGGAGTGGCTGAAGTTTTATGAAATCAACTGTAATTTACTGTATCATAAAATTATTATATCAGGCGATTCCTAATTTAATTATTAATAGAAACCAAAATCCACATCTTGGGCTGAGTTGTTTTTTTTTTTTGATGATGAAATAAAATGGTTATGATACATATTTTTTGTTTCCTCCAGAAAATGTCTAAAGGAGATTTATATAGGTGAACTACACCCTGATGAGGCAGTAGATGCAATGAAAGAAGCCAGACTGTTATCAGAAGTAAGTGCAGTTGCTTTATTTCCTGATATGTATTTTAGTTTAACCTTACAAATGACCAGCTGATCTGAAATAGTGACATAGAAATGACGGCACTGCATAAAACTGAGGTGTCACAAAGCTTGTGAAAATTAACATCATGCCTGCCATTGCATAGTCTCCCCCACAGCCGCTTTCTGTGTCGTCATGCAACGCTTTCTCAAGGGAGAAAGCATTGCGTGACAACACTGAAAGCGGCTGTGTGGGAGACTAGCCATTGCATCAATAATATAAAACTCATTTCACGAATAAAACAGCATTTTCTGTGCTCCGTTCAGTAATAAAGCATGCAGGAAGTGGCATAAGCACGAAAGAAGTGTAAGGAGAAGCACGAGCCGTAGTCATGCTTGTACTATATCCTAGCTATATTATAATACTTATTGTGTCACTATTTTCAAATCTTTATTATCAATAGGTTTTTTTTTTTTCATTTGGTGACCTGGAAATCCATAATTTAAAGAGGAAAGTTGACACCTCAGTTTTGCAAATTTTCTCAATACAGTATTGTCATTGGCTAACATTTTTTCTCAGATCAGCTGGAAGTAATTTACTTAAAATGTTAGAGCTAAGGTAGAGTATTTCCAATAATCCTTGATGGAAATAGATCATGTATTAGTCTGACAGACAAGCACAAGTGGTGTTGTAGTGAAAACACTCACCTCACCAAGGTAGCCCAGGTTTGATTCCCAAACTTAGTTCTGCAGTGGCGGATCCAGGGGGGTCGAAGGGGTCCACGGAACCCCCCTTGAAGGTTTGTCCTCTTAGGTAATAGAAATATGTCTTATATAAATTTTGATAAAAAAATATTTTAGTAGTTTTGCGTTTGGTCATGTTATTATAACTTGGTCCGTTACTAGATAGTAAATTAGGTGATTAGAGCCAATTTTTTTGTCAAACATCAACTAAACAAAAGAGAATCATACACAGTTGAAGAAACGGAACCCCCCCTTGAAAAATCCTGGATCCGCCACTATTCTGAATGTGAGTAGAGCTGTTTGTTGATTCTTTCGTGTTTTGAGGGGTTGCCTCTGGGGTTGGTTTTTCTTCTTTGCAAAAATCCACTTTTAAATTCCAAGTGGACTATTAACTTATGGAAGAAGAGCCAATCTGTTGATCACACTACTCCTGAATCCCATCTTCCTCATCACCTAAAATATAAAGTAATTAATGTGTCATTTGTTTGTATATTCGTTTGCTGTTTTAGTTAACTCATCCAAATGTTGTAAAGTTCATGGACAGTTTTCCTGACAAGGAAATGTTCTGCATTGTAACTGAATATTGTGAGGTAAGTGAGAGATGGTACTGAAGATATAGATAATTTGATCTAAGCAGTTATCTTTATACTCTTATGTGTGGTGTGAGCTATGTACAGTAAAATGTGTAGTCTGTACGCACTGTACAGTTATAGAAACAAACTGGGGGCAGCTGCACATTAATGTAGGGCATGAGAAGGAAGCAGAGTAACATTGTACATAGCCCTGAGTTCCTCTTGCTTCTCAAGTGCTCTACAGCTTTTTAAAGCTACTGTTTTAGCTCAGTTGTGATGAGCATTGATCAGTCTGTTGTGTTGGAGATCATGGTTTGAGTTCCAGTCAGACTGCTGGAACACTAAGGGTTTTAAAATAACTATATATAAGGAGAATGTGCTGTGTTTGTAATTACATCTGCAAATGGTTAGACCTTCAAATCTTATTGGATAAGGACTTAAAATTGTAGGCTGTCTGTCTTCATTATGACACTGTATTAAGGCTAGAAGCAAAAGATATCCTGAACTAGTATCCATGTGATGTCAATTATTTTACAAAATATAGGGTGGTGACTTGGGTGAGAAGATACATGCATGGAAGAAGGCTGGCAAGACCTTCAGTGAATCATTGATTATTGCTTGGTTTATACAGATTGTTTTGGCTGTGCAGTTTATGCATTCAAAGTAAGTCAGTGTGCACACAAAAATATACCATTGGTAAAGTGATTTTTTTCAGACCTTGAAATAGTTAATATCTTAATAGAGGTTAATAGATTTTCTTTCCAACATTTTCTTTATGTTTATTTGTCTATGATGTTCAGGAACTACTAGAAACTGTTTCACATTCTGAAGAAAATCACTCTGACTAAGGCCAAGTAAAAAAAAAATACATGTTTATCGTCCCCACCCGCCTCATTTTTTTGGGCCGCCTGTTTTATTATTATTCTTTTTTTTTCTTTTTCTTTTTTTTTTTTTCTTTTCTTTTTTTTGTTATTCCACCTAGCTTTTAAAAATCCAAACGAAAAAAGTAACAGGTGCTACTTTCGTTTCAAACCCAGTCTCCCTCAATTTGGTACGAAGAGAAATTCGGTACTTTTGTTGATAATAAAAAGTCAGTAAATAAAAAAACCTGCCCTCCCCCACTCTTTTTTTTAGAAATCCGGACCATAAACATATGTAATAAAATAAATTTTTTTACTTGGCCTAATAAGTATTATGTGTGTTCTTTACTTTAGTGTTTATTTGACTATATATACAGTACAATAACTATGGGAAATAGAAACTATTTCATGGTCTGAGGAAAATCACTCTACAACATACTGCTTTAATATTTTGAAAAAGCTTGCCATCATTTTTGTACAAACCATCCAAACACAACAGTCAGACATGTATTTTCACTTACCCAAGGCTAAAAATGACAGCTTGCCAGTCACCAGTCAATAAAAGATGACCAGCCAAATTATTCTAAAGCTCAGTCATACCTTGTTCCCGGGGGGGGAGGGGGGTACTCCCCTATATTTGCTATACGGGTACGTGCCACCAAACAGGGTATGGTTTTCATCGTTTCTACTCTGGAACAGAGTATATAAAATCGCGCTCGCTCTGGAACTGGGTACATGAAATCACGCTCTCTCCTCTCTGGAACAGGGTTTTCAGCGATCTTGCTCTGGAACAGGGTATGAATTTCAGCAATTTTTACTCTGGAACAGGGTCAGGGTTCAGAGGGATCAGCGGCACATCCATACCCTAAACGGGCATTAGTACCCCCCGGGACCTTGTTTCTGGCTAAATGTTACTGGTCAAAATGACTGGCAAGGCTCTTGACTTGACAGGCTACATTATCCCTGCCATTGTTTTTAGCCCTTATGGTACGATATGGCATAGCTATAATATTGTGTGCTGCTTGTGTACCTTCTCATCCAGGATAGATTCCAAATCACATGAAATCTGTTCATGTCACACAGTTCTCTCAGAGCTTTACATCATACCAAGTGCATCCACATCATTGAACATTTTGTTTTAGACCATTACTGGAACAGAATAAGTTCTGAGTTGATTGCAAGTACAGCAAAATTAGTTTCAGTAATCTAAGACTATATACCGTACACTGAATCCGAATAATAATGGTGGCTAATTTTAATAACTAGCATTCTGCACTGACTGCAACTGACTTTTCACTGTATTTTCACAGCATTTTCACTGTATGAGAGGTTAGTCAGTCACTAGTCAGTCTTGAACAATAGTTATTCATTGACAAATTGATTGCCATAGTTTGATTCAGTGTACAATTGACATGATATAATGAAGAAATAAAAAACTCGTGTGCGTGCTTTGTGCAGTTATGAAGCATGCAGGGGTTGGCAAACAAGAGAGAAGTGTTAGGAGAAGCGCAACACAAAGCGTTTGGAGAAGCACTTCTTGAGTGTTCTGTCTATCCCCAAGTGCTTTATAACTGCACATAGCACAGCAAACAAGTAAGTTTTTTATTTATTTTATAATTTAAAATACAAATTTCAACAACTGTTATTTTGGACAGGAATGATGCAACTGAAAGTGCTCGCGCATGCTGTGTGCTCTCATAAAGCACACGCTCTAAACCAATCAGAACGCGACATTTATAACAGTTATTTTATAAATAAATAAAAATAAAATAAAGAATTTTCTTTTAACAGGAGAGTTCTTCACAGAGACCTGAAAACAAGGTGTGTTAATAACGCTAACCCAAATGATAAATAGAGGATATTACATGGGCGCGCGGAGATACGAATTTTATCTTCGAGTGTTCAATTGATATCTCACTAGTGAGCGCAGCGTATCTCCAAGCGGCCATGTAATGTTCTGTTTATTATATAGACATCAATGAAACTTAAATAAAACAGAAGCTCAAAAATTCTTTATTAAAATAGCAAGCCGATACATTATTATGTCAACAGCAATATCTTCACTAGTGAAAGATATGGTATCTTCCACTGGTGAAAGATATCAAGTTTTCGACACTAGAGAAAACCTGGTATTTCACCGATATCTATATAATAATGATAATCATTATTTAATCCTTATTTCAATAACATCAGAATATATCAGAACTTAAAAACATTGCCAGTCCTTAATTGAATCCAAAGGATTAATAGGGAATGGTCATTATTAAGAGAGGATTAAGGCCGGTTGAAATGAAGGGGGTCACTGATTTTAATGCAGGGAAAAGACAGCTGGGAAGCTGTGCAAATGCCAGCCCTGGAAAATTTAAGTGTGGTTTACCTAATTTTGCAGCACCCCCCCCCCCCCCCCAACACCCCCACGCCTTTTTGAAATTCCAACTAAATAGTGACCAGTCCCCTAACTGTACTTCATTCATTTTTAGGAACATCTTTCTGAAGAATAACATGATTAAATTAGGTAAGCAACTGCAATAGGTTTGGCTGTGTATGCTTGAATTAATGTCTCTTTTAAATTGAAGATAATTATCTGGAAGGAGCTGGGCCATCAGAATTTTTTTTGACGTTTAGATATAATCTCAAATTACTTTTGTTACAGGTGATTTTGGAATTTCAAGAATTTTGATGGGAACTTCAGACATGGCCACAACGTTCACTGGTACACCTTATTATATGAGCCCTGAAGTACTGAAACACGAAGCTTACAACCACAAGTCAGATATATGGTAAGAGTTGTAATAAATTACAACCAATCACACACACAAATTGTACAACTTGCTATGTTGACAATAGGGTTTGGGTTTCCACAGTATTGGTGAACATAAAGTTTCAACAGCAAGTGGCTATGGAAACACATACTGTATTGTTTGATGTCCACAAAACCTATTTTTTCACCATGACAATAGCGGATATCAAGGCTGTAGCAAGAGGATGGGCAATGAGGGCTCCCACCTATCCCAATAATTTTTCAACTGCTTTGGCTAGTATTTCAAAATTAATGTCATTTATAGCACGGGGCAACAGACTTTAGTGAAAAAAGAGGCCACGTTCAATATCTTTATGTTTGGACTTGATTGAGAAGATTTGATTTTGTTCTAATTTTGATTTCCAGGTCTTTAGGTGCAATTTTATATGAAATGTGTAATTTAGAGCATCCTTTTCAAGGACAGGTAAGTTACATAAACCAACTGTAAGAATAAATACTCCAGACTAGTGTCAGTAAGGTTGACGTCAGTTGGTTAATCTCTTGCACGGTAAAATACAACTCAAAAATCAGAAATCCCATACATTTTAAATACTTACAACTTTATTATTCTCTGATATCCATGTTGGCCTGCCTCTAGCCATGTATGTGACCTTACTCCAACCAAACCTCTTTAATCCTTTTCCACCACCATCTTCTCAGCTTTCACTGTGACAAGATGAAAAGCCCATATTATTATTTGTAATTCCTTAGTTGCTTTTTATATTTTCTTTCTTTTTTCTTTTTTTTTTTTACAGAATCTAATGGGTATAATGTATAAAATAATCGAGGGAGATCCTCCTAAACTGTCGACCCAGTACAGCTCAGAATTACAGAAATTATACGAAAGGTAATTAAAGTTATTCATTGACCATGAATCGATATGTCTGACCAGAATCTACTAGCTTTAGCTGTTGTATCACAGCGTGGAACAATCACAACAGAGCTAGCCTCCAAACTAGGTGAAAGCCCAAAGATCGAATTAGAATTTAGTAGTTGATTTTTGTGGAGGGAGGAAAACTGAAGAACCCGGAGAAAAACCCTCAAAGCACATGGGAGAGAACCAACAAACAACTCTACTCACATACGACATCGAGATCGGCAGGACATGAACTCGGCCCGCATTGGTGAGAGGCGGTACATTAGCAGCGCACGCCAGCGGTGCTTCCCGAATGCTTCACCTCTGCACATGTTGTAACTCACTGTAACACATACTATACAACTGAGCACTTGGGGACAAAATTAATCAATACAACACAATTAATGGCAGGTTATTAGCAAAGGATCCGAGTAAACGTCCAAGTGGGTCAGAAATTGTCAAGTTTGATTTCATTGCAAGTAATATGAAAGTAAGTCAATCATGATGAGGGTGATTTTTAATGGATGGTAAGGGATTTTATTTATCTTATTAATTCTATAATACGCCATTTAACTAAGTGTAATAATGTTAACATTTATATTAATTGGCTGCACATACTTTTCTTTATAGAAATTAAGTTTGCAGATGCAGGATAAACTAAGTGTAAAAGATAGCTTTAAGGCCAAAGGAGGTCAACATCCAATAAGGTAAAGTTGGGCATGCAGTAATTAAATTACTAGCTGATGAACAAAGCCATAACTAACCAGTCCTTCCATACAATAGCTCACTGAACAAACACAAAGCATTCTATTGACCTCTTTAGCTTGTGGGCACATGTTTTGCCCATTTATTTCAGACCACTTGTCATTCCTTTGAGAATACAATTATTCTTAGTTTCATTTGCATCCAACCATGGCCACCTAAAAATCATCAGTATGGTAATAGTGTACCTTATCTAATAAGGTGTTATTATCCAAACAAAGAAATAATATACAAGGTAATGACACCTGGTCTGAAATCAGCAAAGCATTATGCCTAAGCTAAAGCAGTCTAATGGGGTGGTAAGGTAGTTTTAAAATTTACACCTTGCAGCATTGAGTGAGTGAGTGATTTGTGTTACCAGTAAACCCATATAACTATGTGTAAAGTAGTTAATTTTGTGATACCTTAGAAAAGACCCCAAACAAGCTTGTCGTCAGTGGTATTAAGTTGACAGTCTTTTGTTTGTTGCAATGCTAAGGTGGGCATTATTCATCGTCATTTTTGGATGAGTGTTAAAGAGTGTATTCTTGGTAGGCTCTAAAACACATTAGTATTAAATTAACTTGAAAAACATCATTCTTGTGCAAACTATTTCGTGCCTTCTCCCAAAAGAAGTTTTATTCCCTTAAGTAGTGAACCAACTTCAACACTGGGTGACTGAACCATATATTATGGCATAGTGAACAACAACTTTGGATGAGTTTGGTTTAGGCGACTGTGCTCTCGCGTGACTGAACTCTTGGGTGACTTTAACAGAGTCTGTTAGGGTGGTGTATGCTAGCAGTAACGATCAAATGATACTCTAAATTTCCTGAAGACATTTATCTTTCATGGTAGGAATTGTGGATAGCCATCTGACACCTTAACCTAAGTGATATGTCTGACTAATGAACAGGCTGCACAATCAAACAATGTCATCAATTGATGTAGAATTAAAATTTATGCACATGGTGTATAATGTGTAAAGGCAATAGAAAAAAAAACATTCTGACCACTTGCTGTGCATGTTTTAGTGTTGAAAGACCAGTAACAAGATCTGGCAGGAATGGTGGACCTAAACTTTATGAAGAGCCAGAGGAACGACCCATGACTCCATTGTAAGTACATGTACATACATAATTGTATTTTGTGTACCAAGTAGTTGTACCCCAGGTGCCAAAGGACTTTTTGTCCTACAAAACCAAAATACCATTGAGAAACCTGAAAGCTTGGTTCACTTGACAAAATAAATCCAACAAAGAAGCATTGGCAATGTGTCAAAAGCTTATGCAACTGTCAGGATGATGTAGTTGTTGCAAATACGAATTGATGGCGTTCCCAAGAGAGTCAAAAGACAAAAACATGGCAGCCATCTTGGTGAAGTTAGCAGTGGATGCCAATGAGAAATCTTTTGTTAATTGGTACCAACATGGCTGCCATAATGTAATTTTTAATCGAAAAAATAAAAGTTGTAAAAACTACTATTGTATCTTGTAGTTCTTGTAGTAACTAATGTAAAATAATAAAATAATGTATAAGGCTAGTTAAGGTAAGTAAAGAATAAAATAAATAATGGTGTAGTAAACTGCAGGTATTAGGTATTTAGATTTTGACCCATGTTTGAATAAAATGCTTGTAAAAATGTTTAGTGAAGCTTATACCTCTATTTTCATTCTTTTCTTAGGGACAAAATGAAACTGAGAAAAATGAAGAAAGCTGATGAAGAGGCAGAGAGAATAAAGTAAGGTCTACTCATTTTTAGAAATGTTTGCAATAGTGCACACTCAATCATAGCATGATTTGTTTTATTCTTTTAAGACAATTCATGGCAAATCAAGGGAGTGATGCTCAGGCACAATATATGTCGCACAAGAAGAAACAGGCAAGTGTAAAAAAGGTCCAATACTTTTGTACTCATAACTATAAACATTACTCCCAAAAATGATCCATAAAATGCCTTAGCTTATGATACTACACCTTTTCCAATATAACACTACAGTACATATTTGGATGGAATGGCTGTGATGACTATTGAGATCAAAGTAAACTGACCAAGTTGGTGTCTTCTGGTCACATCTCATGATTGCAAGCTAAATGAGTGTCTACATCTCATTATTAACCTCCACTAAAACAGATCTATGCCCCTTACTAAACATCTCTTACTAGGTACATAAGCCACCTACATATATACCTTGCTAATTGGCATCTCATTAATATCTATTTATCACTATTAATTTACCACATACCCTGCGTGTCTTCCTCAGCTCATCAGCTCATTTTTCAATCTACAGAATCAGGTCTCCCTTCCTTGGGTGGATGACCATCCTGAAGTTTTTCAAGATCCTCATTTTACATTCAACAAGCAAAACTCAGTTGAAAACAGGAGACCAGTTGGTTTCTCATCAGAGAACGTACCTTTGCAAGGAAATGGAAACAACAGAACATGGGCAAACAGTGAAGAAGGTTTGCAGAAGATACTTTCTTCCTTTAAGATTGCATCCCTTTGAGTCAGAAAACTCCAAACATTTTAGGCTTCTTTTCATGCTCACAATTATATGTTCAATATTTTAAAAAATGAATAAAGGAAGGGAGAGATGAATGGATGGATGGGTGGGTGG